TCAATTGTTGTTCATGATCCCTCTGCTCCAGGCCCAAATTCAAACCCTTCCTCCCCAGGCCCCGGCTCTGTGGAGCCTCCAGCCCTGTATCTTTTCCTCAGGCCTTGTGTCATCGTCAATACTCCTGCTCTGAGGTTGAGACCACTCCTGGCCCAGCTCAGGCCTGGCGGGGTGGGGGCCTGGGTGGGCAGCGCATGTGATCGGCCTCCAGCTGAACTGGGCTCTGGGTATGGCAGAGGTTAAAGTTAGCCCTCTTTCTCTTGTGGCCACCGCCAAGGGCCCTCAGAGCTTGGCCATTGCTGGGAACCTCCCCACAGTCTCCCTGACTAGGGCATTTCGCATGGGCCTCAGGAGACCAAGGAGCCCCTGACACCTAGTGGCAGCTCTACCTTCTCTTGGCTGAGGTCGGTACACCCTCCAGGTGGCCTCTTGGGACTGGGCCCAGGAGACTCCATGCTGACCCTGATCTGATTGTCGGTCCTCTCCTTAGCTCTGCCATCAAATCAGCCGGCCAGTCTCTGCCTCTCTAAGCTTCACAGGAGGTGAGGCATCCATCCACGGGATTTCTCTAACTGCAGGGGACACCCTGAAGCTCTCTGGGGGCTCTCTCTAAAGTCCCATTCCTTCTGGCTTGAAGTGAAGGGAGGGCACCTCACCTCACCCCTTGGGCTCACCTCACCTCCCCAAAATCCCCCTCCTCTGACCCCAACACCTGACTCCCTGGTACCCTCAGGGTGGCTGAGGGTTCAGGCCACCTCTTCCTCAATTCTGCGTCACTCGTGGACAGAGCTCTGGGGCTGAGGTGGGTCATCTCACCCTGCACACACCCTGCCCCCTTTCTCCCCTGGCGCTGCGGTATTCAGTCAGCATTTCTTAGATGGGTGAATGTGACCTGCTCCAGGAGTGGCACACCCAGCATGTGCAAGGAACAGTAGGGGACCACTAAGAAGGGGCTTCGTTCCAGAAGCACGTGGTGTGTGGACCAGGCTGGCCACCAGCCTCCTGGCCCAGCCTCTGACAGGGCACTAGGAGGTGAGACACAGAAGCTCTGGCTCTGGCGGGTGGAGTGGGGAAGAGGGACACTGTCCACAACTGCCCAGAGCAGGGCCTCAGGCTGATTCTAGAGAATTCAGGATATAGCCTGAATTCCACTATTGTCAGTTGGTTCTTTGGGTAAGTGCTGCCCTTTCTCCTCAGCCCACGTCCATTCTCTCTGCCTTAGTTTCATCAACCACGAAATAGGTAATAACAATGCCTGTCTCTTAGTTAATTCATGTAAAGTGCTGAGCACACTTCCTGGTTTTTGCTCAGAGCTCAGTAAATAAATGTTAACTCACATTGTTTGTCCCTTTAGGTAGCTTGGGCAGGCTCTTCCCCAGCCACGTGGCCCTCCCTTTGCACACATCGAGCCAGCTGGAGCTGCCCTGACCAGTCACCTGGGACCTCAGACGCCCGGGCCCATCTGGCATTCCTTTGGCAGAATCTGCCATGGGGCCTTTTGCTGGGTGGCCAGGCTGGAGTGTCTGGCAGAACTCCCAGGGCTCCCAATCTGTCATCCCTCCTGCCACAGGGACACAAGGACATTTGGTTCAAATCTCCTTGGAGACAGGGCCTCCTTCCCACATGCCCACAGGGAACGGGGACTGGCAGCACATCCAGGAAGAAACCTCCAGGGTCACCAGGACCAGAGGACATGAATCCAAAGCCTAGCTGGGCTTCAACTTAAGAGCCCTTGAACCAGCCATGTAACTTCCTAGATCCTCATCTACTCAACTGCAGATGATGATTCACCCTCCTCAGAGTCTGTTGTGATGACAGATGAGATTGTGGCCTTGAAGGGGCCTCATTTCACATATGAAGTAGCATTAGCACTTTAGGATCCTAGCATTTTAAAAACCAGGAAAATAGGCAATCTATTTTTCTCTGTGGCTATGTCTATCTCTGTCAACTACTGAGTGCCACCCCCATCCCTAGGTGACCAGTGTCTATGGTGATGCTCTCTAAACAAAGCTCCTTTGCAAAAGCCAGTGTTCAACTGGCTGGATGAAGGTTTCTGGACAATAAATTCAAATAGTGGCAGCCTTGTCCTAATTTACAGGGGGAACATCAAAGTCAATTTTTTAGGACCACAGCTTCTGATATCAGTGGATTAGGTAATTTGGACCAAATTTCCAGCTGAGGACTGCTTAAAATCTTTTCAAAATCTGTGTCTGTGTCTGTGTACCACTTTGAGCAGCTTTTAAAGTTATACATATATTTGATACATGTATATATACACATATTTAAGTCTGATTTAAGTCTGAAGGTATCGGAGAGCAAACAAGGCAGTGAAGAATCACAGGACCAATGTCTGGGAAAAGAAAGAAACCCAAAGATATATGCCTGTCATCTGGGGCTACTTTCTCCCTAGGGGGTCTGCTGGTTCCAGAAGACACTGCAAAGATGCTGAGCAGAGCCTACCGAGAAGAAGGCATGCCTGGCAAATCTTTCATGCTTTGGGTTGGGATCCCAGAGGGCTTTACCCTAGGAATATGAATGAATTGGAAGTAGATCAGCTCTCCAACTGACTGCAAATCATCTCATTCCCTGCAGGTGGATTCAAGCAATCTTAGTATACTAGATCCCAGGTCACTTGCCAGATATAAACATAATCCTCATAGAGGAACATAACTTCATCCTAGGCCTGAACTATAGATTTTCAGATATAATGTGCAGTACTCAATCAAAAATCACCGAGTACGTGAGGAGACAAGACAAAACTAACAAAAATCAAGAGAAACAAGAGACAATAGAAACAGACTCATGGAGGCTCCATATAAGGGAGTAAGTGAACTTTAAAATAATTATGCTTAATATGCTCAAATATATAAAAGATAAGGTAGGTAATTTTGATAGAGAACTGGAAATTATTTTTTAATTGTTTCTATTTCATTTTTTTTAATCTCATCAATTGCATTTTTTAAAATACAGAATGCTACTTCCCCCACACAGGTCAACAGATGAGTAACAAGCAAAAAACCTCTGGGAAAGGCCAAAAAGAGGCAATTGTGCCACATGCAAGGATGCTTGTTTGAGAATGTACTTGTAGTAGTGACAATACATTATGTATGTACCATCCTAATTTCTAGTAGAAAATTTGTTGTTGGTTTATAAGATGCAATTAAACATAGACACTCCCTGAAACCCAGCAGACCACAATCTTAAAGGGCTTTTTGCCTTTGAACAGGGACCTGTCTCCCTCTTCCCTGGTATCTTCCCAAACCCTATCTGGCCCAAAACAGTCATGATGAGGAGAGGAAAAAAAAAAAAAAGAACAAAACAGCTCCCATGTGCTGAGCATTTGTTTTGTGCCAGGCCCCTGCCAATGGCTTTCCATGCGTTATCACATTCAATTTTCACAACCCTGTGAGGAGGCTGTGACTATTATCCCATCTTATAAATGGTTTAGAGGACCTATGTAACACATTCAAGATGCCCCAGCTAACAAGCACCAGAGCCAGGCTGTGAATCCAGATCTGCCTGCTCCTGACAGTATGCTTCTAGTCTAGGCCCCACTCCCCATCTGCTGATTGCTGGAATATTCCCTGGATGCCTACAGTCAGAGGAGGCCTTGGAATTCTCCTCTCCATAAACACTCATTAAACATCAACTGTGTACAGGTACCCAGCCTGGGAGACCTGGTTTTAAGGACCCAAAACCAAGGCTTAGGGAGGTGAGAATATGTTAATGGATCTGACATCTATTCATCTCCTCTTCTCTCTCCTCTTCCTCTTCCTCATTGTTGGAACTCAGGGTCCAGCATGCAGGGATGACCCGGGGATGGGCTAGGGTTGACCCCAGTCCACATGCACAGGATAGAAGGGGTAGTGCAAAATCCTGTTCTGGCTGCCAGATCCCTTCCGGGAAAGCCGGGTGTGGGCCAGGGAAGATGCTACCTTCTGGGGAGACAAGCAGAAACCCTCACTCTGACCCAGGTCCCAGGTCCCTTCCTTGGGGCCAGTGCTCAGAGAGAAGCCAAGTGCCAGTACTACATTTCTAACCTGGAGTGCAGGCAGGGAAGCTTAGCCTTCAGACAAGCCTCCCTCACCCCACTGGGGCCCGATAAATCCAGGCTGAGCCCTGCAGAGGGTCCAAGGCCTGGGGGCAGTGGAGGGCTTGGCTGGCCATAAGACGCAGCCTGCAGCCAGCCCAGACCTGACCATAGTGGCCTCTGCTTGTTTGGTGGCTTCACCTGATTAGTTTGTTTAGGCAGGAGGGGTCCCTGGGACCAGCAGATAGTAGTGGGGATAAGGTAAAGTGGGGACAGAGTGGGGAAAGGGCTTCCCTGGAAGTAGGAAGCAAGAGCTGGGGAGGGCACAGGGGGGCAGTTGGGGCAGTGGGGAGGCCAGATGAGGGACAAGGGCAGGGAGCTAGAGAGGGGCCAAGGGAGGCATGAGGTGGGGGAGGGGGCAGAGTGGGGGGAGGGGGTTCCAATAGGTAAGGACAGGCTCTTTCTGGTGATGACATATCTCAGCAAGGAGGGTAAGGGATGGACACCTAGAAGAACCTGTCGGCTCTGTAGCTCAACAGAAGTCAAGTGTGATTTTGAGAATGAAGGAAGGAGGGTCACGAGCAGAAAGGAGGCACGAAAGGAAGAGGCAAGATGGGGCCAGGTGAGCTGGAGTCAGGGACGGTCCAGGCCTGGATGCCTGGGCTCTGGGGCAAGTGCTGCAGAAGTCCTCTGGTTCCCCCCGAGTCAGAGGGGGACAGGCAGCCCCAGGGATCACCTCGCCCTGTTATGGATTAAGAAGGAAACAGGAGAGGGGGAGGGAAGGAGAGCAGAGCTGTCAGTGCTGCTGCTGGATGGGCCACACTCAATACCAAGACCCCGCCAGGTCCCCAAACCTTCCTGCCCTCCTAGGCCCCGGAGACCCCAGATCCTAGCCCCTCCCTTCCTCACCCCTTCAGCCCCCAGCACTGAGGAATTAAAGGGGGGGGTGGGGAAACTCACCCACTGGATCCTACAGCTGCAGGGAGGTGACCCGGGGGATGTGGAAGAGCTGAGTCTCCTCAGAGCTGGTGGAGCTGCAGCGTTGCAGAAAAGAGTGAGCCCCCAGCACAGACCCTCAGCCCGACACAGGGACAGACCCGGAGCCCCGATGTTCCTTCCTCAAGAGCCCTCCAGGGGATGGGAAGAGTCCCAAGAAGCTGAGCCTGGGTGGATGTATTGCAGCAAGCAGGATATGGGGCAGACTTATGGGAGAACTTCCAGCCTTGGAGCTCCTCAGAGTGTCTGGCTCTCCAGGGCTAGGCCATGAGCCTCCTCTGCCTGGGAGGACACAGGAGGTGGTGTGTGTGACAGGGGGCCAGGGCCCAGCAGCAGAGAGGACGCCTTTCTGGGCCTCTGATGCCCCCTGCAGTCCTGGCAGCCCCTCACCTGAGGCGTTTCCGGATGGGACGAAAGTATTTGGCAGTCTTGACAGCAAAGATGATGCTGGGGATCAGGAAGAAGGTGCACCACGCCAGGCAGAACCAGAAGGCATTCTGGAAGGGGTGAGAGGCCGGCTCACATCCAGCCGAGGGGAAGGGCTGAGTGCAGGCCTGGGCGGGGGCCGTGCCTCACGCTGTGTCGGCAGGGCCCTCCTGTGGGTCCCAACGTCCACAAGCCCTGATGAGCAGGGCACACTCACCCAGGGGTCAGCCATCATGTCACACAGGATCACACGGCTATTGTCCAGGGCTCCGGAGAGGGGCTGGCAGGTGGCGATGCGCTCGGTGACCTGTGGTCCAACATGAGAAGGTGCATGTGGAAACACCCAGACCCACAGGTGTACGCCCCATGCTCAGAGACAGAGAGAGACTGACAGGGACACAGACAGGCCCAGGGCCCAGCTGGGACCACCACACACTTGTACATAGACACAGAGAGGCAGGTACATATTCACACACATGGATGCAAGTCACAGAAAGCTGGGAACACTCATGCAGGCTCCTTGCTCAGAGCCTTCCCTTTTCATCTATTTACCAGGCTGGACTAAGGTCCTACTCTGTGCCCAGTGCTGTGCTTTAAGTCACACTGTCACTGGGGAGGTGACATGTGTGCATGCATGCACACACACACACATGTGCATGTCCTCACATGCTCATATGCATACACGTGCACATACACACACATACACACGCACTCACGGACACACTCAGGGTTAAGCCAGACCCCCTGCCCACCCAGCGTGGGGTCCAGACAGCTGGCACAGGCTGTGGTCAGCAAGGGTCCGCAGGAGGAGGTGGGCTTTGCGGGCTGGCCTTGGACAAGCTGGGCAGGGGCCGGCCCCAGGTAGGCATGGAGGCCAGGTGTGGCGGCACGTTCTGGAGAGCCACACCAGCCTCGCTCAGACTCAGGCCTCGGGAAGGGCTGCGGCAGAGGTGGGGCCAGCAGAGCCCAGCCAGAAAGCAGGGGCACAGACACCAGGTTTGGGAGTTGGGATCAATCCTGAAGGCCTGGGGCACCTCCAGGGGACTCTGTGGTCAGGGCAGGGTGAACAGCTGGTCCATGGGGGCAGTGATGGGTCATGGTCTGAGGCCCCACTCACCTCCTCTCTCACCCAGGCCACGTACTGGGAGAAGTAGCCCATCTCCCGGGTCAGGAAACACTCACTCATCTGCAGGAAAGTGGAGAGCCTGGGCTGCAGGGGTACCATGAGCCAGCAGCCCCCCGCACCTCACCATTCTTGGCAACATGAGGACAGGCCAAGCTTCCCAAGGAGCCACAGTGAGGGGACGGGGCTGAGGAGAAGCCTGGGGTGGAAGCCCCCTGCCCCTGCCCCCACTCACATTCCTCAGGATCTGGGTGGCCCAGGCAGGCAGCTCTCCTTTTAGGTAAGTGACATTGCCTAGGATATCTGAGGTCTCCAGCTGCAGGGGAGGAGAGCCTCAACTCAAGGCCCTGCTGAGCTGGGGAGTGGCCACTCATCCATTCATTAATTCAGCATAGAACACACAACACACTCACCTTAGTGGGGAAGAGGGGTAGGCCAAAGGCGGTGGTCCTCAAGGCTCTGCCCACCTATCCCCACCCTCAAACTCCACTGGGACCGGGCAGAGCTGGCGAGGTCCCGGGCACTTCCTCCCTCCCTCTGGGCCCACCCGCTCCACCCCTGGCAGCCACCTGGAGAGCTGGGGCAGAGGACTCCAGGGCCCTGACACTGAGGTTGAGCTTCGCCTGTGGAGAGATCAGGGCTGGTTGGGGGAAGGGGTCGGGTGGGGAGTAGTTCCCAGCGCCCCCCTCTTCTTTCACTGCCCTCTCCCCAACGCCCCCTTCTCCCAGACCCCAGCCCCCCTGCACTTCTCAACTTACCACGAGGCTCTGCTGGGGGACGACCTTCTCCTGGTGGAGGTTTCTGAGCCTGTGGGCCTCCTCCTGCAGCTGCTGCCCCAGCACAGGATTGCTCTGGTGGGAGACAGAGATCAGAATGGCCCGTGCCCAGGACACAACGGGCTGGGCAGCGTACCCTTCACCCAGCCTTTCAACCTGACACAGCGGGAGGAGGTGGCAAGCTGAGTTCAGAGGCAGAAAACCAAGGCTCCTTAAGCTCCAGGGCCTGCCCTGGGTTTGAGGGGCCCAAGCCCAAGTTCTAGGTCTGCCCTAGCTTACTGGGTGCCCCTAAGTCAGCTGCAGAACCTGTCTGAGCTGCAGTGGCATCTGCTAAAGCGGAGGAATGTTCCTTGCTCTACCCACCATGAGGGGCTGTGGATCTGAGATGTCTCAAAAAGAACTTCTGCAACTCTAAATATTTATAAATACAAAAATGCTATTTTTTCCCCTGAAGGGCAATTGTCATGAAATCTGATTGATTGCAATGTCTTTTTTTTTTTTGAGACAGAGTCTCACTCTGTTGCCCCGGCTACAGTGCCGTGGCATCAGCCTAGCTCACAGCAACCTCAAACTCCTGGGCTCAAGCGATCCTCCTGCCTCAGCCTCCCAAGTAGCTGGGACTACAGGCATGCGCCACCATGCCCGGCTAATTTTTCTGTATATTTTTAGTTGTCCAGATAATTTCTTTCTGTTTCTTTAGTAGAGACGGGGTCTCGCTCTTGCTCAGGCTGGTCTCAAACTCCTGAGCTCAAACGATCCGCCCGCCTCGACCTTCCAGAGTGCTAGGATTACAGGCCTGAGCCACCGCGCCTGGCCCGATCGCAATGTCTTCACAGCACTTGTCCCAGCAAATCCTGCCAGCGGCGTGCACTTAGAAACCCTTGCCCAACTGTGTGAGGTCAGACCAGTTGCTTCATCTGAATGAGACAGAGGACAGTCCACTTTGCAGATGAAGAGACTTGCCCAAGGCCACATAGCCAACTGGTGGCCAAGCTCGAGTCAGAACTAATGCTGCACAACCCTCAGGCCCAGTCAGGGGGTTAGGAGCCCCAAGCTTCACTGGTGGGGTCCTCAAGCTCCTGCCTTTGTTCTGACCTCCTCCCCAATCCAAGCGCTGCCACCCTCTCCTGCCTCCTGGGTGACCCTCTGACTCCCACTCCCCAGGGGGTTTCTCTCCCTTCTCACCTGGGCCTGGGCCAGCCCTTGCAGTTGCTGAGCCAGCTGCTCCAAGTCAGTCTTCACCACCGGCTTCTGGATCTGGGGGCAGACAGGGGAAGCCGAGAGAGCTGACCCCGCGCCCTCAGCACCCCCGCTGCCTGCCCGCGGCCTCTGGATTCCCAGTCTTGTCAAAGGGAACCTGCACCAGCCAAGTCTATTGTGACACACCAGTCACAGTGGGTTTGACCTGGAACTGTGAAGTATTGCAAACATTTTCCCAATGACACAGAAGCAACAACAACAAATGAGGTGCCCTCTGCTGTAACTCACGGAAGAGGTGACTTCCCACCAGCGTTCACAGCCATGGATTCAGGACCATGAACAGCGACATATGCCGTTGGGGCGAGGGAAAGGGTATTCATTCCAGTGTGGCCTGGGGTGGTGGCACCAGGATGGGCACATGGTCTGGGAACACTCCCCACAGGAAGGGGCCCCAGGACACATGTGGAGGAGTTGAGGGAAGGTCAAGAGCTGGGACAAGGCGAGATGCCTGCCCAGCCCTCTGTGGGCGCTCTGTTCTGTCACCGTGTCCGGGGCACCTGAGGTGCCCGCTGCTGACCTGAGCGAGGAAGTCGGGGTAGCGGACGTGCTCCAGCCCACTGCTCTGCAGGGCCTCCAGGTCCTGGTGGGCGGCTGGGCTCAGCAGGTCCAGGTTCTGCATGTCCATCTTGAGGCTCCCCAGCTCCTGCTGCAGCTTGTCGGTGTACTAGGAAGGTGGGGGCGGGGGTCACACCCAGTGCTGAGCCAAGACCTCAGAGATGCTCCCCTAGGGAGGGGTCTCCAGGCCGGTAGGGCCCTCCTCCTGGATATCCAGGCCCCTACCCTGGACACAGCCCTAGCCCCAGACAGGCTCCCAGGAGGCCCGTCTCCCCCCACCCCAAACCGCCAAGACCCAGCCTTCCTCCAGCAGCTGTCTGGCTTCTGGGCTGCCACACAGACCTTCCGGTCACCTGACACAGAACAGCTTTCCCGGACCCTCTTTATCGCATCACCTGCGTCAAGGCCTTCATAGCACCTGCTGCTCTGGCATTGCCTTATCTATTTGGGTCCTTGTTCATGGCCATCAGCTCCATGAGAGCAGACCTTGCCTACGTACTCTGCCCCAAGCCCCCATCATGCAGAGCAGATGCTCACACATGGTGGGAGAGGTATACATTTGGCTGTGTGAATGAATGCATGAAGGAATGGATGCAAGGAAAGACGCTTGGCATTTTCCTACCATCGCTGGAAGAGATTTAGAGCCATAAAATTTAGCCCCAGTGTTTCACAGCAGAGAAACTGAGGTCACAGAGGAGTGTCCACTTGCCCGAGGTTACACCGCAAGTAGAGACCAGAGCCCCGCTCTGTTCACCTCTCCCCTTCCCGCCAGGCTGCCTTCCCCAGGGGGAGAAAGGCCTAACCCTCTCGGGGGTGGGGTCTTCGCGCAGCAGCGTTTCAAGCACCAGTGACAGACAGCTATGGGAGACGTGTGAAGCGGGCAGTGCCCTCGCAGTGCCCTGGAAAGCACACCTTGTCTTGTTTATCTCTGCATAATCAGCTCATTACTGTCTCCTTTGAGAATGAAGATTCTTCTTCTTTTTTTTTTTAGTTCCCTTTTTTTTTTTTTTAACAACACATTCCAGGGAGTTCCTAGGAATGAGGACAAAGATCCTTGAGGACACATTTGGTATGTTGCCAGATGGCCCCGAGGACTGCTCAGTCCATCTGAACCCCTCCCAGGACCGGGGCAGAGATCCCTCCACCTCAGAGCTGGGACTTCTAGCCAGTGGGACAGGGGCTGCTCTGCCTGGGCCCCTGCTGCAGCCCTCCCTCGCCAGCTTCCTCCAAGGGTGATGTCTCTGGCCTAGCACTGACATATCGCCAGCTCCCTGGACTTCCCGCCTGGTTGAAGACACCAAAGGAGGGGTGAGCTGAGGCATTAAGCCAGCTGTCCCGAGGTACACGCTTTAAGGCGTGGATTGGGACTGGCCCACTTGGCTGTGCTACCCCGTGGGCTGAGACTGGGTGGTGGATCCCAGAGGAGTTGGAGGGGTTTGGGGGGACAATGCAGAATGAGGAGCAGGCATGCTCTGTGTGTGTCAGGGAGTGTGGATAAGTGGGTTTCCCCAGAATGTGCTTAGCCTATCCCCGGAGGCCCTGGAAGTCAAGGCACTGCTCCTCCCACCTCACTTCCGGTGGGGAAAGGAAAGGAGGGAATGTTTTACAGCTTCTGTACACCTCGAGGAGAACCACATTCTCAAAGTATGTCCCTGTTGTGAAGTAGCCCTTCCTTTCCTACATTCTAGAACTGTCTCTTGCCAGCATCAGCAAGTATCTCCCGTCTTCACACCAAGTTCCAGGAAAGCTCTGCTGTTACAAGAAGAGGCTTAGGAGTTGGGCTTGGGGTGGAATCCTGCCACCTACCGCTGTGTGAGCTGGGCAAAAGGCCTGTGGTGACCCCTCCAGCAGGGTCACCCAGCCTCATCACGACCTTCCATTGCTGCTCCCTCCCCAGGCTCCACCTCCCAACTGGAGCATCCCAACCAATGCCTGTCCTCAGAACACACGCACTCCCGAGTCTGCTTGCTCACTGCCACCATCCTTTCCTGCCACCACCTCAGCTGTGCTCAGAGCTGGCCATAGCCTCCAGGTACTCATGCACCCACGCCCACACCTGGCACCTTCCCCTGGGCTGGTAGCTGGGCCTCTGCCCTGGGGCACCTCAATTGCTCATGCAGATTTCTTGGGTTCAAAGAGATGGTGCCTCTGCAGAGGCAAGACCAGAGGAGAGGCGTGTGCCTTCTGGAAGATTCTCTTACCTGGCTGATATCCAGGTGCTTCTCCAGGTCGTAGGAGTCATTGAGCTGTAGGACTCTCCAGAGGGCAGCCCCTTCCTTGCACTGCCTGGGGAGGCACAATGGGCATTGAGGATGGGCGACGGGGCATGGCAGGTGGGGGCCGGCATCACCCTGATGGCAGAGACACCACCTCTGCCCTCCCTCAGCCCCTCCTCACTCCCCAGCCCCAGCCCAAACTACACACTCACTGATAGGCCAGGTGGATGCTGATGTTTTTCTTCAGACCAAGAAGGTGGGACAGGTTCATAGATGGGGGCAAGTTCCCTGGGGTATCTGCAAACTGGGGATGGGCAGAGAGAAATGGGGCACAGAGCGGGGCAGGTGCAAGGCGCCCCAGGTCCCACAGGGCCCTGCCCTGTGCCACCCTGGCACAGCAGAGACCAGGGGTGGGAAACACCCCATGACTCTAGCCCAAACCTGACCTCTAACTCCAATTACCCCTGGGCCCTAACTCCTTAGAGGGACTCTCCCGTGGGTCTCCAGGAGGGGTGGCCAGCGGAGAACCCAGGCCAGCAACTCCATTCACCTGCTGGAAGCACACTTGGCACCAGGGTTCCCCATTCCCAGACTCAGTGTCAGGAGAGGAGAGGAGCTTGGGTAATTCCTCAGGGTCCCTGTCCTGGGGCCTGGGCAGCATCCCAGGAACTCATGGACACACTCTCTCTCTCTTCCCCCATCCACTGGTGGTTTTCTGTCCCCCTCTCACACCAGCCCCCTCTGGCTCACACGTCCTCCCAACCCTCTTGCTCTGTCCACAAGTCCCTGGAGTGGGGACAGGCCCACCTCATAGAGCTCTCCACTCTGCCAGCTACGGCACACCAGCGTCTGCATGTTGCCACCCACCAAGAAGGTGGCAAAGACGAGCAGGATGAGTGGGGCAGCGAAGAGGAAGCTGAAGCCCACACCTCTGGGGGAGAGAGAGACAGCTGAGGGAGGGTGGAGACTGGCTTCCCTGGACACGATATCTGCCCCACCCGCATCCAAGGCCAGCTTGTTCAGCCAGGTGGCCCCAGGCAGAGCCTTTAGGGAAGAGGAGCTCAGAGGCAGGAGAGACAATGCAAAAGTCCTGACTGTCCCGTCACCCCTATGCCATCCCACCCTGTCACTGGTGCCTTGGCAGCCTGGAGGAGAGGACAGCTGTTTTGTTTGAAGAGCCAGGATTGTTCACTTCTGGGCCTAGGACCCATGGAGGTGACTTGCTCCAGAACCCAGCCCTCAAAAGGGTCACCTGGCATGGGCAGGCATGACCCACCCGCAGGGACGGCACCCTAGTGGGTCTGAGTGGTAAAGCTCCTTAGACCACTGAAGTCCATGGTGCCACTGACTTGCAGGGCTTCTTTGTGAAGTGGGCACAGCCCCACGCCAGGCTGTGAAGCTTGAAGAATGAAACATGGGGTGGATTTCAGCCCCTACTCACCTCTTTGGCTAGCTACCCTTGTGTAGTGAACAGCCCGTACAATAGTACATGGCAGCCCTGGTCCTAAAGACCATCTAGCCTAGGATGGCAAACAGATTCTACCTCTGGTGCTGCCTCCTATTGGTGGTGGTGGCTGCCTGGGAGCTGAGTTAAGAAGGATCCCGAGGCTGTGTCTGGACTCAGTGGAAAAGAGTGTCCACTGAGTGCTACAGTTGCCACTGGTGGGGGAGGGGGAAGTGCTTCTTATTTGCCATTCCTGCTCTGGTCCAACCCCTTTGTACAGATGAGGACACTGAGGCCCACATAAGTCACCCAGTACGTCAGTGCCAGAGGCAGCATTAAACCTCAGCCTAGGCCTCAGCTCCTGTAGCCACACCAGGAGCCGGGTGTGGCAGGAATCTGGCCAGCCAGTGGGAAGAGACCCTCCCCCTGCCCTTGCTTACGCCATGAGGAAGCGTGCTCCAGCCTCGCCCTTGGCTTCCAAGTGGCTGGGGTCCTCCCTGGTAGATAGCCCCCAGATGCCCAGGTTGAGGCCCAGCAGGTTACAGACCACCACAAGCAGGACTATGGAACACAGCACACAGCCCACGATCCACCTGCAGCAGAGAGGGTGCGGGCGTCACTGAGGAGGAAGGCAGCTGGCACCAAATGGACCCAGTGGCTGGGGGGCCTCTAACCCCAAGGCTGAGGTTTTAGAAGTGCAAGAGTGGACACTTCCTGAGGCCCCACTGCTCCTGTGGGGTCCCCAGGGCAAACAGCCAGGTTGGGACATGGAAGCCTGAGGAGTCAGGGGTCTTGGCTTAAAGGAGACAGAGGCTCAGTATAGGCAGGAGTTGACAGGGGCTAGGAATGTGCTCAGGGCAGAGGAGAGGCTGGGCTGCCCGTCTCACCCCCAACCCACGGGATCTCGGGCACCTGTATGTCTCATATCGCTGCACCTCCTGCAGGTAGGGGCGGCTGCTCTGTTCCAACTCCTCCAGTGCCTGGCTCCAGCGGGAAGCTGCCTCCGAGCCCGGGAACCCTCCAGCCAGTGTCCTCACCCCTTCAGGCTGCTGGGCCACTGCCTTCTTCAGCTCTGCCCAAAGCAGCAGGGTCTTGTGGGATGGGGAGGGCACACCGGGGCCCAGGGACAAGATGGCAGGGCCCAGGCAGGAAGAACATCTGGGACACACATAGGGCCTACTCTCTGCTGGGGCCCAGCCAAGAAGGATGGCTTTCCCTGCCCCCCTACCCAACTCCTCTCTCAAAAAGCACCCTTAGTAGGGGTGGCACCTAGGCAGCTGGCCTGGCCCCTGGCTGGGCCTCACCTGTGACCATGTTGGCCATCTGCATGGCAGCCAGAACCGGGAGGGCATTGAAGGTGCTGTTCTCCTGTGGGAACCAAGTGGGGCTAGGCCTCCCACCCTCTGCCCAGTGTCCCCTCTTGGGGGACCCCGAAGTCACCAGACCCCCACGGAGGGCATCCCTCCTTGGAGCTCCCAGCTCAGGAAACAGGCTTCCCTTTGCTCTCTTGGTCACTGTCTTCCTCTCCCCTCCCTCGGCCCAGCCTGACTCAACTCCCCAAAAATTTCCTTGCAGACCCCTCCTTCCTAACCCCACCCCTCTTCCTAGACTACTGCAGTCAATTCTCAGCCACCCGGCACACAACAAAGCTCAGCTCCAACCTACCCTTCCAGCCCCAGCTCCCACTTCCTTCCTCCCAGAACCTTCCACTCCAGCCACCCAGCACGGCTGACTCACCATTTCCCCAGTTCCAGGTTCCAGGTCCCAGGTCACAGGCGCTGACTCACACTGCACCCTCCCCCATGGCCATCTCCACCTGGGAGAGCCTGTCTGCCCTCCCAGCACTCACTCCCTTGCCACCCCAGGCCCCACCGCTCTGAGGGTCCTAGCTCTTCCTTCTGAGACCAGACCGTGCACATGCCTCCACCCTAGATGACATATGGGATGTGAGGCCCCAAGTCTAAGGTTCAACTGGGTTTCTGCCCCAAAAAGGGGAGGCTGAGGCCCTCATCTGTGAGTCCCCAGGTTGGGGAGGAGTCAGGTGGGCACTCACCTCCTGGACCATGCTGGAGAAGTTGGCCTCTGGGACACCCTTCAGCCGATGCAGGACATCGTCCACAGAGGGCACCTGAAATGGGAGTGGGGGATTATGACAAAGTTCATGGAGAGGCCTGAGGGAGATCCCTGGAGGAAGACGGGGGGAAGAAACCTTTGAACCCTTCATGTCCTCAAGTATAAAACTGGGACCACCACGGCCCCTACCACCCTGGGGGGTGGGCAGCAAGAACTCAAGGAGCTAATACAGGTGCAGCTCACGGCACAGTGCATGGTCCAAGGGGAGCTGGTGACCCACGGCCAGGATGACCGTCACTAGCCATGGGTGCGTGGAGAAAGGGAGAGGCAGCCTGCGGAGGGGATCAGGAATCTGCCTCTGGAAGCCCCTGGATCATCAGATGCCCAGGGATCCCAGGGTAGCAGCAGAGCTGCTCTGCTTAGCTCTAACAGGCCTCTGTCCTGGTCCTGCACCTGGCTGAAGTCAGCACCCAGCTCTAGGGCGTGGACACGGCTCAGGGCCCCTGCACAGTCCCCCTGGCACGTGGGCTCCTGCAGCAGGACGAGGAGGCGTTCCCTGCGCTCACGGACAGCGGGCTCCAGGTCTTGCTGCACCGCCCACAGCTCTACAGTGGTGTCATTGAGGGCTCGGAGGTGGTCCACGGAGACCTGCAGGGCTGACAGACCCACATCTGGCCTGAGCACCACCCACACATCCTCAGAGGCTTTGCAGGAGGTAGACCATCCCCGTCCCCCCAGTCAGAGGGACCTGCAGTCCTTGACCTCTGTGGTTACAATGGAAATCGCCCCAGGCACATTACGCTATTAAAGTGCATTAAGCCAGGACAGGGGATCCTGGGATAATATGAAGGGGAACTCATGGGTGGAGCTGAGGCAGCACAAGAAGTCCAGGGCTGGGTGAGAGTGGGCCTGCCCCAGGATGCCTGCTGGCCCCACGCCCACACAGCCCAGCTCACCCTGGCCCAGGCTGTGCACTGAGGCCAGCAGCGGGTACACGGTGCTCCTGAGCTGGGTGTGGATCGTGCTCCCGATGCTCATGCCAACACCTGCAGAGCACAGGGCAGTCTGCAGGGATGGCCCCCAAGGGTGGAGGGCCGGGACCATCCGGCCTCCCCAACCAGAGACTGGGCTCTGCAGGGTGGGCACTGGCTTCTCCGCCCTCTGTGCAGAGACTGCTCTCCAGCTGCGCTCAATTCCCACCCCTGCCCGGGTGGTCCCAGGAGGAGTGTGGGATGAGGCAGTGACAGCCTCCCCCACCCCTACCACCAGCTGGCCTGAGCAGGGGCCCTGCCAGCCAGCTGTGACCCTCACCATCCAGCTCCTCCGAGACTCGCTCCTGGGGCAGGGAGAACTGCCGTGCCACGGCCTGCAGCTCCTGGGCAAACATGGGGGCATGAGGCTGCCCTTCTTTGTCACCTGACAGCTGTGACTCCCATCCCTTCCCCGACTCCAGGACTGGGCATCCATCCTGAGGACACCATGGGTGCCCCAGCAGAGGCAGCCAGCTGTAGAGAGGAGGGGCCCTCTTTCTGCTTTGCAGCCTGTGGCCATAGAGGACCCGCTCTGCTCTGTCCTGCCCAAGCCTGATGCTCACAGAGGTACACGGGTGTGAGGGGGCTACTCGGTGCTCACCTGGGGGACATCGGAGACCAGGCCCCGGAGGCTGAGCAGGGTCTCAGGCACAGCCTGGACACTGGGGCCCGTCTGCTGGTGCATGTGCTGGTTGGTGACAAAGGCACAGACGACGCCAACCCTGCAGGGATGGAGCAGAGAAGAAGGGGCTTGTTGGGTGCCCGTGGGAGCCTTGGGCCAGGCCCAGCCCCCGCACCTGCCCTGGGCAGCTCCTCACAGCAGCACGAGGGTGGTCAGCAGCAGGAAGGCCATGAGGGTGCCTCGCTTACAGGCCATCGCCTTGTGCTCTGTCTTCACGCGGCCCCCACAGCGCCGGCGGCAGCGGCAACAACAGAAACAGAGCCCAGCAGTGGGCACTGCCAGGAGGTAGAAGCCAGCGATCACAGCACACAGCACGTAGCCCGCCTCGTACCGCACCACCTGGACAGGGCAGCTGGGCATGAGGGGCCGTCTCCTCCATCCAGCCACGGCTCCATCCCGAGTCCAAAGGGAAACCCAAAAGCGGGAGAGTGCAAGGGTGGTAGGCCCTGTTCTCACTGTCAATTACCATCTTACAAAGGAGGAAACTGAAGTTCAAGGAAGTTCGAGCTCACAGCAAACCCCACTGTCAGGAAATGGCAGAGCTATGGTTTGCACACAGGTCTGGGGACTGCAGTGCCCATGGAGGAGGGGAAAGGATGCCCGAGCCCCCCACCCTGGTGGACCCTGAGTGGAGGTTTTTCTGCTCTCCCCCACCCCGTCCCCCCCCGCGCTGCACTCCCTCCCAGCCCCCCTCTCAGTTCTCACCTCATCCACCTTCACGGAGGCCGGCTCATTCAGCAGGACCTTCACCAGCTCTACCAGAAAGAGCCAAGTGGGGGGGTTGGGGTCAGCCACCACCCTGCCCCTGTGTCCACCCTCTCCCCACTGCCAGGCCAAGGTGGGCTCTGGGATAGGGCCACTCCCACCCTTGGAGAAGGGAGTGTCACTGTACTCTGTGCCACCCTGCCCAGGCCTCAGCGCTGCCGTAGGAGGGAGCAGCAGAGAGGAGGCCGGCAGACTCCCCTCCTGGACCCTACAGGACCCTCTGCAGCCTGGGCAGAGGAAGAGGAGGAGCACAGCCTAGCAGTCCTTCCCCTTAAGCGGCAAGGGACAGGCCTGGGAGGGGACCTTCAGCCCCTCCTGGCCCTCCAACCCCTAGCACCACTAGACTCAGAGAATGCCCGAGTCAGGTCTAATGTGACCTACGTAATTCTAATGCAAACTCCTCTACTTTATAGACAGAGCAACTCAGGCTCAGAGAGGGAAAGGGGCCTGCCCAAGGTCACACGGGAAGGTTTTGGAGCCCTCTCCAGATGCTGCTCCTTGTGCCCCAGGACTATTGCATAGGAAGATGGTGGTGGGGAATGCTGGGCCCCTGCCGCCCAAGTGTCTCCTGAAAGGGTGGGCACACCCATGGTGGAAGGGGGACAGGGAGCTGGCTAAGGACCCAATACCAGCTGAGGCCCACCTGGGGAGAGGGGCACACTCACCTGAAGGGAAGGGATTGGGCTGCACGACAGAGAGGAAGCGGTGCACGGTGCCATAGAGGGGGTCCAGGGGCCCTGGGGCACGGACACGAGGGGCCAGCCACCGGGCTCTGGCCACCGGGGTGAATGCCAGGCGCTCAGCTGGTCCGAAGGGCCCACAGTCTGCAGCTGCTGCCCCTGGTAGACTCAGGGCCAGCCCCAGGCCCAGGCCCAGCAGGGGCGCCAGGAGGCCAGGTGTGTGCCTCATGGTGTCCGAAGGGTGGGCAGCGGGACAAGCTCAGGCTCAGGAAGGAGCAGGCAAGCGAGGGGCAGGACGTGCATCCTTCACCAGCCTTGTCCCTGTGTCTCCACTCCACAGCTCTGAAACCGGCCTGACAGGTTTGGGCTCTGGAGCTACCTGGGCGCCTGCCTGGAGCGTAGGAAGGGCAGGGGCGGAGGCCTGGGGTAGGGGGGCAGGGCCAGGCTGGACCGCCCTTGGTGGCCTGGGGTGGAAGCCTGGGCTCCCTCTTCCCTCCCCAGATTTTCCCAGGCAAGGGCTGCCTCCCCCAAGCTGGGTCCAGGAGGCAGCTCAGGGGTTCTGGATTATCCAAGGGGGCCCAATTTCAAAGATTATATCCCATGCCCAGCCCCAACAGCCCAGTCCGGGGCCTGGGAAAACACAGTCACCTTGTGAAGCCCTGGCCCAAGGGGTCATAAGACCCACAGGCCCAGGAACTAGGCTCTTTCCCTCTGGGGCTGCTCTGTCCCCACGGGTCACACCTAGCACCCACAGCCAGACTGACCTGGCACAGAGGCATAGTCTGACAGGTGCAGTCCTTTGGGAGGGCAGATCCCAGCAGAGGTGCGCCCTTTGGCCTAGCTGTACCCCGTCCAGTCCTCAGCTGAGAGAAGTGATCAGGGGTATGCCCAGAAAGTCGTCTGCAGCCAAGCCGGTCGTGGGGAAGTATTGGAGGGTGTCCTGGCAGCGTTAGTCATAGTACCAGAAACTGTCCGGAAGTCCACCCTTGAGGAGTTGGTGAAATGAGCATCACCCATGCCACACTGGGCAGTCATCGAAGAAAATGATGTGGAAATGTCTCTTTTGACCTGAAAGGTGCTCACGATGCATTACTAAGTGCAGATAGCAGACTACGGAACGGTACACAGAGTGAAGGTGTAAGACAGTGATCATCTCCAGGGGAATTCTCAGCAATTTTTAATTCTCTTTTGTTTACCTGCACTTCCTGATTTCCATGCATCAAACATGTGTGACTCCTGTTCAAAGAAGTAGTAAGTTTGTGAGAGTCCATGGCAGCCCCTGCCCCCTGGTTGGGAGCCCTGGAGGGAGGGGCTGGGTATGTGCCTCTTGGGACCTCAAGCTCAGCCCAGGGCAATGGCTCAGGACTGGTTTGTGCTGTGGGCGAGAGGCCCTGGGATGTTCCACTGTCCCTGGCGGGGTTAGCAGTGAAGAAGGCACCTAAGTTTGAGTGAGGGCTGGGCTGGTAGCGGAGTTCTTAGGCTGCCCATTGCCGCCCCTGCAGTTTTCTCAGAGCCAGGCAGGGGCGGACGCAGTGGGAGATGGCACAGTCCGGTTAATAACGGGGTGCAGACAGGAAACAGCACCTCATCAAAGGGTGACTCAGATGAGGATCAGGGCTGCAGTGAGGATCAGGGCTGGGGGTGCCCTGGCAGACAGGTCCAGTGGGAGCAGGCTGTGGCCTCCAGCGAGGGCCCGGGGCCAGCTCTTCCCCTGGAGGCTCCCTCCACCCCCCCACCCCCGTGAGGAGGGAAGCCCCTGCTCACTCTGCCCATGGCTATGCTGGAAGCTAAATGCGGGCTGTGCCCCGCTCCCCCTGACCCATGGCCCTTTCACCTGACTCACCTGAGCGCGGCACCTGTGCTGGGGACTCCTGGCCTCTGGAGGCTGCCATCAGGAAGGGCTGGTCTCTCCAGGGCCTCCCTACTCCTTCTCCAGTTCGAACTGTCAGAGTGATTGCCACTGTGATCACTTTCTAAGTAGGCGCATCACCAGCAGGACCGACAGAGCCCTAGCCCGGCTTGAGATAATCCCCCTGGGGCGCAATTAGCAATGGCCATTTAGGTGTTTTTGTATTTTCTGACACGGGTGCACCAGTGGTGGGGGAGTTTAGGCCCCAGCTTCCCGGGGAGGACTAGAAACCTTGGGGTCTTGAGAAGTAATCGTCCCACCACTCTCTCCGCTCAGCCATTGTAATCAAGTCAATCACTGGCCGCCGCTATTGTTTTCATACAGTGCCTACAACAACAACCCTGTACTTTGAAGGTAAGATTTTCCCCCAAGAGAAAACAAAAGCATACCAAGCCTCTTTCTCAGCCTGGGCCAGGAGGGTTGATGAAGGTACTGAAGCCACCTATTTGACAGGTGTGGAAACTGAAGCTTGGAAGAAGGGACTTCCTGAGTCAGTGGCCAAGCCAGGAGTCACCACCACGGGTCTCCTTCCCCAGCAGGGTCCTGGTGGAACAATTTGTCATCAGACTGGCTGGTCAGCGCCCACCTCCTCCCACCCCAGCCCCACCCAGGAGAGCAGGTGGGGTTCAGGGCCCAGCCCTGGGCACCGGGCAGAGGAGGTGATGAAGCTGCTACTGTAATTGAACTCCTTGGAGGGGGCGACCAACCAGGCGGTGTGGAGTCAGCTCACCAGCAGGGATGCCCTGGGGGGCAGGGAGGTGGTAGGGCTGGTGGGCTTCTGGAAGTGGGGAAGCGGGGGCACACCTTTCTGGGCACTCTTGCACTTCCCTTCCTCCAGCTGACCCCCTGGGACCCTCTGCCCTCCATGGGGAGTTCTTCAGATGACCTGGGATAAGCAGCTCCTGGTCCCCTAGGAACACTTCCTGGGGCCACGTTCTCACCCCCGACTCACACAGCCTCAGAAGGTTGATGTTCCCTGAACCCCACAGCCTTGTGGTGTGTGGGGGGGAGTAAAGACAGAGACCTGAGCAAGGGAGGGACCCTGTCCCCCAGAAAACACCTGGGCCCCTCTGGCTGCCTCATGAGAGGCCCCACTGGGAACAAAGCGGAGGGGATGCCCAGCAGCTCTCGAGGAAACAGCAGGTGAGAAGACGGGTCCCTCTTCTCTTGCCTCTGCTGTCCATGCTATGCCCTGGGAATGGGTCCTAAACCAACCCACGGGGACAAAGACCCACGTATCAGATCATGGAGGCTAGGGCACAGCCATTGTCTCAGTCAACACTCTTTTGATGGCAAGAATCAAAGACTTAGGCTCGCTGAAGGATTTGAAAAGTGAGAATTTATTACAGGGGTACAGGCACATTTTTGGAGTCCAAGTTGGTTTCCTGCCATTTCCTGGAGAAGGGATTATCACAGGTGATGTACTCTGTCCTTGAGATATGGTTGAGGCTGTAGCTTGTTTTCCTGCTGTTTACTCAGGAACTCTGTAAAAGGAGATTCTCAAGAAACAATTTTGAGAGAGAGAGAGTTACATCTCTTTTCCATCCATTCAGCTCTCTTCAGAAGTTGTGCAAAACAGAACTCCTGCAGGGTGCCTGTTAGTGAGAGAACTCATGGGATTGATCTTTAGCCATTACTGGGGAAGTTACAAAATTAGGTATTTTCCTGTTATTTTTGCAAGGCCACCCCTTTCAGGCCTCCTCTGCAGATCGGCCTCTCTGTGTCCGGCACGGCAGAGAGGGCTGTCCTGCCAGTCCGAGTCTACCTGTTTTCCCAGGTGGTCACTCTGAGTCCCCAGTGCCACAGGCCACATCCTAAACCCTAGCAGGAAGAAATGCATGGTCCGGAGGCATTGTCTCCCAGTCCACCAGGGCCCTGCCCGCTGCAAAAGCCATAGTGGAGTTAAGCTTGCAGCAGGTGGTGCGTATGGGGAGAACAGGCCTCAGAACAGGACGTAACATCTAAAAGATGTTGACCACAGTCATGGAACTCTTGTTCCCAAAAACCATCAAACGCAGTCGTCACCCAAAGTGTGCTATTCTGAAAGCTTCTGGGTGAGAATTCAATGAGAGGGAAGAGAAGAGGCACCTTTGTGGGAATATTTTGGAGAATTGCCGCCACCACGCACCCAGAACGTGGAACCGGCCTGACTTCTCGTCCCTCATTCCTGCACCTAGCCACTCATCCACATTTGCAGTGCCACCTCCTGAGTACTGCTCCAGAAAGGACCTTCAAAATGCAGACCAGACCGTGTGACTTGTGGCTTCAAAACCTCCAGTGGTTCCTGCACTGGCTCACGACAGCACAGAGTCCTTAATTTGTCTCCCTGGGGCCTTCTGGGTTCCCGTGGCTAGTTCTTGTGAGCCGGGGCTCTCCCTGGCCCACTCCCCTCCATCCTGGCCTCCACATTCACCCAGTTCCTGCTCATCCTTGGCTCAGTAGTCAACTTCTCTAGGACCCCCAGGCTGAGTGAGAGGCCCTTCGAGGTGCCCCTTAATATGAAAATCTGCTTCCCTACTACCACTCTCCAGCCTGTCTCCCTCACACAAGCAGGGCTGGGTTAATCCACTCGTGCACCCTCCTCAGCCCCGAGCACGGAACCTGGAACATGGCATATTCCCCAGAAATGTTTCCCTAGACTTTGAGAAAGCACATTTCAGTACCTTTAAAGGTAAGATATTTTCCCAATGCCAGAGGGTCTGAAAGTGAATGAGTCCTGAACAGGGGGGAGAGTCCCCAAACTAAAATTCTGTGCGTGCTGTGCAGAGAGAACCCGGCGAGGAAGGCATGGGTGGCAGCCAGAGAGGGAGGAGGCCCTTTGGGGAGTGGCATGTCCCTGGGAACATCCTCATGGGCCCGACCAGGTAGAAAGGATGGGGCGCAGCCCAAAGAGAGGCCACCCAAGCCTGGAAGCATGTGAGGGTTTTAGCAAAGTGCTGGAGAGTTCCAGTGACAATGACTGCAGGCCAGGTGAGGCTTCAACGTGGCTACCTGGGCATGGACAGGAAGGCCACAGGCATGTTGGGACTTCAGAAGTAGTCAGAGTTGGGAGGGCAGGGGCCTAGGCAGGCAGAGATGGCTTCGCTCTGCTTTCCTGTGGCAGGGTGAGCTTCTAGAAGAAGCAGCCCAGCACTGAATAGATCCTCCACAAAGACTTGCCGTAGACACCTTCAGGTCAAGTAAAAACTTCAGTCCTTGCAGCCCAGACCCACTGGGTGGGCTCTGCACCTTTGACATGGCCAGGTGAGTCCCCCAGGCCAGTGATCCTTGAGACTTGCTGGTCTCTGTGTCAAGTGGGAGGACAGCATTTTGCAGCCTGA